GTTCGAATCCCGCCAGATTTTTGAGACACGTTTTACGTATGTTATTAACATGAGTTATTTTTCAATTACATTGACAATACCTTCTTGCAAACCCTTTAATAATAAAATTATGTATAGATGATTATTGGATTCCTTTACTCAAATTGACGGCCATGATATTAAAGAAATAATTAAGAAATCAATTACAACGAAAAAAATCCATATTCGTTATAATTTCGATTTATTATTTGAACTCAGCGTTCTGTATTATAATTAAATCATACGAAAATCGAAGCTCTATATAAACATAAACTATTTTTAAAGTGATGACACGCCATTAAATTAAAAGTTAAATTTAGAATACAGTCATAATTTGCATTCGTTTTAAAGTACGACTTATATATTGATATTATAAAATCCCACCAGGAATAGAAGTTTCATAAAAGTAATTTTTATAAATTCTCTGGCTTTATTATAATTAGCGTTTCAAAATGCTCGCTTTAGGCATGACATGAATGTCGCATCATATTGCACGCGCGGCACTTGACCTCGAGACCGGCGGCCAGCGGGACAGCAGGCGATACTGGTAAGCTGACGATGTTTATTAAATTCGCTATAAAATGCGTTTTTATAATTTTGTAGAGACACTGATGATTTTTTACGGATTGTTTGAATCAAATTATCGTCCCCGTTATTCCGAGTGATTGTTTTAATAAATAGTCATATAGCAACTGATTAAGTATATTAAAATCTAATTGCACCTATTTATATTCCTATTTTAGATATTATTCATATTTAAGACGTTGTTTAGTCGCGACCTCACTCGTGGGGTAACTAAGAATGCCACGGTACCTGGTTGGTTATTGGGGATTCTAATTAACTTTTATCTCTATATCGCGAAACCAAAAAAGGTGAATTAGAAGCCTCCAATCGCTTGTGATTGGGGGATTTTAATTCACTTTTTTGGTTTTGTGATATAGAGATAAAAGTGAATTAGAATTCCCAATACCTACCTACTAAAAGATAGTTTCGTATCATGTTGTGTTTTTTTCTACTCAAAACCTATAACGATAATCGTTTTATACAGATAGTACAACCACATACCAAATTTATTTTAACTTTTGTAATTATGGCGTTTTCTTATACGGGTCCTCTCGACCCAACCCTACTGTCGTTGATGCATATTTTGACTGTGCTGACGCCGGGTTAAATAAATTTCTAAGGAGATATTGAGAATTTAATCTATAGAATAAAATAAAAACATAACTTCTCGTTAATTATAAAAAATAAATAGAGAAAAAATTATGCATCTTCCATTTCTACTACTCGTGGTGACCTACACGAATGATTTTCTGATAGATTTTTATTCCCTTCTCATCGTATTTATTCCTTATATTTAGCCTTTGTTTTTAGTTCATCCTTTCAATCACGTAGTAACAAAATATGTAAGCCCAGTGCATGATCTGCGTAGATACATAATCATTGACGTGTTCAGATATTATTGAAAAGTTGTATGTTCAGATATTATTGACAGGCATCTGCTCAGATATTATTGAAGTAATGAATGTTCAGATATTTATGGTCACTTGTAGCGTATAGAACTTAATGACATTTTAACTGTTCAGATGTATTTGGTCACCTTGTATGCTCAGATATATCTGATGGCGACTGTACGCCAATGGGTTGACGACAAGATGGCGGACAACGGATATGCGGTCACTACTGACGGACTATTGACGATTAGCTTTTTTGATTGCTCATGTAGGGGTCTTAAATGAATAACTGCAATATGTTACACGAGTTTACAAGACCCAGCACCAGGATATGATATATAACTCCTTTTTATCACGCTCAATTGTCAAATTACTGTGGTTTGACAGTTAGACGTGATGAAAAACATGATATAATGTAAATTGTGGTGGTCATGCTACGGGGGCCGGTCAGGATGTTGTAAAATATATTCCTAAGAGTAAGAACAAGGGAACTTTTCGTGACACCCATTTATGGTCCATTTTTACTAGCGCAGAATCGTATCGAATTTCACAAACGGAAAGTTACCATCACCATTATCTCCGCAACGTACTGTACATTTTGGGATTTCGAGAATTCCTTCGATTATCAGCTCAGAAGGAATATGTGCATTAAGTTACGGAGATAACGGTAAATTTGCTGTTATTGTTTCTGAAATTCGTTCCGACTCTGAGCTAGTCTGAACAGGGTATTTGACAGTATTAAAAATAAAGTGCTAATTGTTAGCATCTGTATTTAGAATGAATATTGGGAGGGGTTTTTACTATTTTTACAAAAAATATATTCATAATTTTACTAAAAACCCATTAGCATTACCATTATCATTAATAAATTAATTTACCAAATAGTATTTTTTAACAAGTTGTTGTTTTAGAAAATACAAAATGTTACTTATGAATGTGCAAAAAAAACAAAAATAAAAAAACACGATTTTTGAAATAATGTATTTCACTATTCTAATTTTCAACCGACACTAACATAATATAATTATTTATATATAAATCCGTATGTATCTCTTGTATAATCATACACATACGTAGCCGCGTCCACCATACATACCGACTTGCACACAAACAGTCAAACACGCAACATTTCTATATTATTATAACTGGGCGAGGAAGATTCGCATTGTTTACGCGTGAATTTCATTTGCACATTTATTACGTACAGTATTATCGAACTGCATTCATAAATAAAAAAATCTAAAAAAAATCAAAAAGTTCAAAATTTTCTTTCATTAAAAATACATTTAAATGAAAATTACTTGTAAATGTGCGCTTAGTCGCTTATTTGTTAGTTTGACTTCAACTGAATTTAAAAATCAACCAATTCAATAAAATTGTTTAGTCGCTATATATTTAAATGTACAAAATATCTGGATATATCTAAATAGCTGAATACAATGGCGTCTTGAAAGACATGGGTCGTATCAATATAATTTATGCCTTCTCGCATAAAAGCTTACCAAGGTTAAGACTTTAGCTCCAGCAAGTAAACTACGCTAAGCACACATTACTAGCGATAGAATATAGGTAATTGGCTTGAAAATAGAATATTTAGTATATTAGGCGGATTATACTCTCTAAATATAAAATGTCATTACCATTTGTAAATAACCGAAAATAATATAAATGAAATTCACGCGAACAAATTTAACATTTTTCTCGACTCCTGCGCACAGGCAGAGTGCATTTTATGAATAAATCAACAAAACAAACAACAATTTTTTAGCTGGGAAGTTAAAATGCTTTCATCGTAAGATCGTCTAAAATATGCTTTATTTTTAAGAAAATAAGGTCCAGTTGGACTCTTAAGGATATCAAGATAACTGAATAATTTCCATTTCAAGCAATTCCAATCGTTATTTCAGTACAAGTAAGGTCTATTTGAATGCAATGCTCGATGCATGAACGTTTCAAAGACGATCTTACCAGAAATGCGTACAGACAAAACTCTAAGACGTTTTTCCTTTAACCGTCATTGACATAAATGCAAACACATCCTTACAAACACGTCAATACAGTTTGGTTTCCCATGATTTCACTGGAAAAGTTCCATGGGAATTCGGTACTTGTAGATGGGTAGAAGATAAAATTTTACCAGTGAAATCAAACACATACATACATATTATAAAACAACATAGTGAATGTACACATTGGAACAGCCTAAGTAATAAAGCATTTACAAATCATCTATTTGTGAAAACTCTATCTTTGAATCTTTCCACTGATTCTGTATATTGCGACGTACAGAGTGAATTGTGGATTTAACCACTTATGTAAAAGTATTAGGCTGTAAGGTCACGATACCCCAGCCTTTCCACAAAGAGTAAAATTAAAAAAAAACTCCAGTGTTACATGGTATACCGAAATTCCAGTATTCAATAAAAAGTAATTTGATTACATTTTTACATACTAAAATTTGCAAGATGGCGGTTTGTATTTATATAAATCTTAATAAACGTAGGCAATATACTTTGGTCTTCGTGAAATGTTGTTGGGAGAAATGTATTTATTTATTTGCAGCAATACGATGTTCCAGATAAAAATAATACATTGGCGAACCTGAGACGTTACAACTGCGATCTTTGGCCATTGACCAATCATTATATTGTAACGAAAATACTTGTTTGAATGAAAAAGCAATGAAAAATAAATGCTTAATTTACGACATAAATATCTAATCTAGTGTATGACATTTGACAAAATTTACGGTATGTTTTCAATGTTGAAATTAGCGATGATATCCAAACGTATCAAAATATTACTTTGAGTGCATTAAAACACTAAAATTCAGGTAAATATCCAAAAATACCCAATTTCTAATCATTACAACATAAAACGCATACAATTATAGTTGTAAATATACGTCGAATCGTTTAAGCGAATAAAAATTAATGCGAAACCATTGCCTCTTCGTAATTTGGTTAGCCAATATACAAAATACCTAATTCAGGTCACTTTTCTAACGAACTAATGACCAATTCATCTAAGTTTGATGCGTCAGTTACCACGAGCATTACTCTCAGACTTGCAAACATTTCTATACTAAGGCGACTATATAAAATCCAAGAGTTGTAACTAAAAAATCACCATTGACACATATAAAGAAAATAAAGTTTAATTTTATGCAACTTTTATTTTATAAATAATAAACTTAGTAATGTATTTAACAATAACACAAGTCTTTCAACATTAACTCATTGGCTAGAAGAATACAATACTAAATTGCAAAAGTATTGAAAACAAAATTGCAAACATATTTGATTACAAAATTGCAAACATGTTGAATACAAAATTGCAAACGAGTTGAATACAAAATTGCAGATACTTTGAAACGTATTTTTAGTTGCTGTATTCTTGTATTCCATGGCTTTGGTTACAAAAGTTCATTTTTAAATGCGACTATTTTCTATAATGCAACAAGGTATTCAAAGTTACAACTGAATGGAATCGCTTAACTTTTTCTCTCGTCTCTGTGATGAGTTTTGTTTAATTTTTCTTCTCCTCTTTTTCTTTCTCCTGTTGGGTTTGCTCGGATTGTGTTGTTTGTTGTTGTCCTTCGCGTTCCGCAGCCATCTGTAAAAAAACCGGTTAATTAATGAGCAAAATTGCATTACAATGTCTCCCATGCTATGGCGACTCTTTCCTAAACACACTTTTAACTACTCACGATTTTTATCGACTACAAAATCAGATAGAATAGGCTATTCGACAGTAGTCAAAATAATGTACCAATTGTTGGCATCTGTATTTTATATGAATACTAGCTGTCCCAGCGAACTTCGTACTGCCATAAAAAAATAGGGGTTGATTGTAAAGGGTTGAAAATTCAGGGTTATATGTATTTACCAATGCTGTATCATAAAAAAAAATCTAAAATTGAAAAAAAAATTAGGGGTGGATTACCCTTAAAATTTAGGGGGATGAAAAATAGATTACATTCGATTCTCAGACCTACTGAATATGCATATAAAATTTCACGAAAATCGGTCGAGCCGTTTCGGAGGAGTTTAACCACAAACACCGCGACACGAGAATTTTATATATTAGATTAGCAGCGATTTTACTATTCTGAAAGAACAAATAATAACTTTTCTATAAAATCATTAATTCGAAATGAATTCCTTTGCTCCATGGTCACGTGACCGAAGACGCCTGGCATTGGCTAAGACTAAAATGACGTCACACGTTGGTATACTTCCGTCCTAAGTGACATTACAATGTATCGTTTGACGCATGGAGGTTAGAGAGAAGGGGAACGATCGCTACGTGCTAAAGCATTAGCCCGCCTGTCCCTGAAAATTTGTAAAATTTATAGTTAATTTTTCAGCCACCAGCCGCGCTGCCGTCGGTAAGTAGTATCTGTGAAGTTAGCTTTTTATGAGTACAAGTAGATGAAGTTAGTTAAATATTGTACAAATTTTCTTCGCGGCATTGGTCATTTCAAATTATCGCACAACAGCCAGCTTTTATTAAGACAACTTAGCGATCGCAGCACCTCACATACTTTGTCCATATTTCTGGGACACTATTTCTACAGCGATCATTCTCCTCCTCTCTAACCTCCATGGTTTGACGTGTTCATGACAGTCGTGTGACGTCACACACTAGTGCGACGCCGTTATATCCAGAGAAACGTTTTCGCGGCAACGTGATAGAAGAAATTTTAATTTAGTTCTTTTACTGATTCCACAACAGAATTAAAAATATCCACTTTTTATGGACTCAAACAATAGTAAATAACGTGAGATCGTTCTGTAAAACTTGTCAAATGCCATATTTAAACTTTTTAGGTAATAATAAACATATTATTATGATCACACTAATATTATAAAGGCGAAAGTTTGCGAGTGTGTGAGTGTGTATGTTTGGTACTCCTTCACGTCTAAACCGCTGGAGCGATTTTAATAAATTTGGTATGGAGTTAGCTGACACCCTTGATTAACACATAGGCTACGTTTTACTGCGTTTTACTTCCCTAATAAACCGCGGGACACAGCTAGTAATTCATAAACGTATGAACACTTAGCACCAGGCAAAAACGGTTGAGGCTGGATTCCACTTTACTGTATGCATGTAGTATTTTGGTCTATGAGAACTTTCTTGGTGTTTAAGAGTTCATATTATGCTCTCTGATGACAGTAAAATATTTTGCTAATTTATGAAACTCGTGCTAAAGTCTGAAATGTTTTAAGCTCAACACACGATTTTACAAAACTAGACTGTCAAATACTATAGTTTTTATTTTACCTATTCACTCTTTTATAGTAAACTAGCTGTGCCCCGCGGTGTTACCCGCAGTTTATCAGGGATCTTTTCCCGCAGTAAAACGTAGCCTATGTGTTAATCCAGAGTGTAAGCTATCTCCATACCAAATTTTATTAAAATCACTCCAGCCGTTTAGACGTGTGGAAGTAACAAGAATACACAGTCACAAACTTTCGCCTTTATAATTTTAGTGTGATTAAACAGCAATAAATAAATATAAGTACAAAACTAGCAACTAGTGTAAGAACCGCGAATCTTCCGTCAGCCCACTAGGAACTGACAGATGATAACTTGGTACCTGTTACTGTAGCACATTTGCTTGACCGTAACGCAGATTGTCTAGAGATACGGCTCAAAAATGTGCATAAATTAAAATTCAATAACATTTATGTTTTTATTTATTTTTTAAGCATTTAACTGCTAGATATAAACATCTAGCAGTCAAATGCTTAAAAAATAAATAAAAACATAACTATAATTGCTATTTCTTTTTTCGAATGTTTAATACTTGAAAAAGTATTCATTTGACATTGTGGGTTACCTACAATGCGAAGAGATGGCGCTGCCTTGCAGCTTAAGGCTAGGAAAATTTCGACGCGGCGAATAGGACCGTGGTAGCATAATGGTCAGTGCATTCGCCCGGATTGCGAAGGATGCGGGTTCGAGTCCCGTCCGCTGCCTGGTCCGCGTGGATTATTTCTAGTATACTTTTCTCAATAACATTTAATTAGCTTAGGCTGTTGAGAAAGTTGGTAAAGTCTTAATATACATATCAATCAGCTGTTCATTTAACAGCCTATCCATTTTACTAAACGGCGCAGTTGAACTAGTAGAGATTGCTACCTTAGCAATAAGGCCGTCTTTTGTGTTTAAGTTCCTTGAGTTTTATGTTTTACATATTTTGTTAAATAGTGCAATATAGAATATTCATTCATTCATTCAACTAGAGACCCCAAAATTCATTAACATTGGTTCGAATACAAAGGACACAGAGTTATAATCATATCTTTAATTACATATTAGCAATTTCTCTTTCATTCTATCAAAAATTAATATATCTTCAGGTAAGTCCATTAATCACCTGTTGTTTAAGCCCTTTTTTTCGTAATCTCTACCCCAGGTAACGTGGTGATGGTACACAACCCTACCCTACACAAAATCACATACATTTTCAGTAAAAAGTATCTTGTAAACTCCCAGAACATTTTACAAGTATATCACTGTATGTATTCTGTCCGTTACCCCTAGCATCCCATAGCAAAAGCCTTGCACAGTGCTTACATTGGGGCTAGGCTAATAGGGTATTTGACAAGTTTTAGAAAACGATCCCACGTTATTTACTAATGTTTATATAGTCCATAAAAATGTGGATATTCATCATTATGTTGTGTATATCGGTAAAAAAAAACAAATAAAAAACTCAATTTTCAAGTTGCCGCGAAAAACGTTTCTCTGGACAATATGGCGTCTCACTGGTGTGTGACGTCACACGACTGTCATTAAAACGTCAAACCATACAATCAAATGTCACTTTAAGCGGAAGTTTACTTGCGAGTGACGTCGTTTTAGGCGCCACCAATCCCAAGCGTTTTGGGTCACGTGACAAAAGACAAGAAAACTATTATCTTTATCGTGGGTTGTTAGTAAAATTATAAATATTTTTTCTGTAAAAATAGTAAAAACTCCAGCCAATATTCATTCTAAATACAGATGCTAGCAATTGGCACTTTATTTTTAGTACTGTCAAATACCCTAATCGTTTGAGTGTAAGAAATATTTATTTAATTCATTCTCTGATGCAAATCTACTCACCTTCTTGTATGCCTGTTCGAACAGCTTGAGACTGGCTTGCTGCAAGGTATTGGTGGCGTTCTTGATCTGTTCGGGGTCGGCTGTGTCCTTCTGCGCTAACAATTCGCGGAGCTTGGCGATGTCCTCGCGTAGTTTGTCGCACTGTTTATAGAAAGGATATATTTGAATTAATTATTGTTGTGTAACATCTTTCCTCCCGCTTTCCTGCAATTTGTGGGAGTGATTACGTGAAATGGGACGGATGTGTGTAACAGGAAGTTTGGAAAGCGCGCGCTATTATGATTTGATTTTAGAACATAATGTTCAAATGGCTTATTCCTTTTGTAGTAGGTTTTATTTCTATTTTTACTAATATAAGGTGAGGTTCCAAATGTTACACATCATACGCGACTTACTGTAAGGCTCGCTCGTTTTTTTTTTATCTATATTGCTATACGAGCAGTAGCATAAGGTAACGCAGTATACAGTTTTGGCGGGATTTCACCGCGTGCGGGGGATTTTTTAATGTAAAAAATAAAATTGGTGTGATTTTGTCTTACAACCGTCTGTGCAACTGAAGAATTAGTCGAGTCTTTAAAATATACGTAATTCCTTAAGTGGACGTGAGAAGTTTATTGTAGTGTTGAATACGTCAGAGAAGCAGATTCGATACATTTCGTGCCGAACACTTGCAAGAAACATTAGATGTGTCACACCCAAATTTTAATGGATTATTATATGGACAAAATAAAGAGTTAATTTGTGTTTATTGGTATAATGTGACCGATGAAATATCTCTCTATTTGACTGAGTATTAATTTATTGAACAGAAGGCTTATCAGAATTTTGAAAAATTGGCCCTAAGATCTTTTAATTCATACTACCAGCCACCAATTATCTGCCGATTCTTTGCATTTCATCAATTGTAATTCATCTAAATACAGTAAAGTTTCAGAAGAAAAGACAGAATTAAAGTTCTTTGCTACATAAAACATAAGGTTAGGCTTTGGTCGTTCCAGATTACTAAATTAGGAAAATGAATGCTATATCACCTTTTCAGGCCCCCAGTATAACAATGCCTTGGTTTTGATATTGTTTTCTAATTTTTCACACTGCTTGTAGCAACATAATATAATTATTTATTTTGTAGTTGTCTTTAATCGTCCCACAGAGCAATGAACCCGTGGGGTGATAACCAGCAACTATACTATAGCACCCGGCTTTACCTGCCGCGTAAAGTGCGCGGAGGTTTAAATCAAGTGCAACCAAAGACAAAAGAGTTGTTGAACTATAAACAAAAATTCGCCAAATTAAGTGTAAAACAGACGAAGCGATAGTGCGGTCAATACTTCGCATAACTATTTTATCATACATGATAAAATAGTTATGCAAAGAAGAAGAATGCAAATGCCTAAAAAGCTACTTCCTAAGTGCCTCATTAATAATTTCTGCCTTAAAATCTACAACGTAATAATCCCAGACCATCGTTCTATCTTCAAAACTATACTCTATCTACTAATTGAGGAGCTGGCGAACAAAACGGTAGAACTATGAATCTGGTCAAACAACTTTTTTTACGGTCCGGAGGTTTCGGGCCCGGTGAATTTGAATCTCAAATAATTTTTAATCAAACCACTTAAAACAGTGTTTAAAATTACTAAATTTATAATTTTAAACCATGTCAAAAGCTCACTGGAGGCATGTCATTCAGTTTTATACAGCTCCTGTAAAATTTAATTTTATGTAATTATACCGTTTTGTTCACCAGCTCCTCAATGAGGGCTATCGCGTATGAATCCGCCGCTAGAGGCGCTAGTGTAGCGTGAGGTCTCCGAAATGTCAAATGTTATTGCTTGTTGGTTGACTACGCGGGTTTATTTCTAATTAAAATAATGTTGTGAATAATTAGTAACAATTCGGCTTAATTATGGCAAATATGAGTTATGTGGCAATGAATGTCAGTTATTAAAAAATTGAGCTTAGAAAAATGATTATGTTCCCATTTTTTCCGAATAAAACGGAATTATGTTTAGGATATGGTTCTTTTGTGTTAAAATACGATCTAAATGTAACCTTTGATTTCATGTGCGTCTTAATAAACTTTAAAAGTTACAATTCAGGACCTCACTCAACAGTGGCGCCATCTGGTGAGGCAGAAAACGGTAGCCCTCATTATAATTATCTTAAATTGTACGTCAAAATCATCTAGCCTTATATCTTTTTCACTTACCTCGTCTTGTGGCAGCTGAGCTTTGTATTCGTCCATTTTGGTCTCGGTATCGTGAAGCACTCCCTCAGCCTGGTTGGCAGCCTCAACCCTTTCACGGCGTTGTTTGTCCGTCTGTGCGAATTGTTCGGCAGCTTTCACCATGTTCTCGATTTCGTCCTTGGACAGTCCACCGGAAGATTGGATCACAACTATATGGGAGAAAATAGTAATGTTTAATGGTATGACTTTAAGCCGACATCAAAATTAGCCATTAAATTGGGTAATATTATAATAAAACTAATGAAGTATAGATTATAATACTAAATGTATCATCATGGGGCTGACATAGTCGCTCAGCGACAAAAGCCATCTTTCTACTGAATAAAGATTAAAAAAAAATGGTATGACTTTCATTTAATACCTGCTAGTTTTATATTGTATTTATTTATTATTTTGTTGTATTTATTACTAGCGGCCGCCCGTGACTTCGTACGCGTGGAGTTAGTTAGAAATAAAGGTTCACTACTCGTTCCCCGTAGGTGATAGCGTGATAATATGTAGCCTATATGTTAGCCCGGCTTTTTATTAATATTCGTGCCAAAGGAGATTGCTCAGCTTCCATACATGTTTGGCCTAAAGACCAATAATCATGAAAACTTGTTTCCTGGATTCGATATTATCCTTCGCGCGTCGTTCGGCAGATTCACTATAGGACAGAAACTTGATAAGGCAGAAGCTGGATTGGGCAGAATCGTGTTTTGGCAGTTGTGGTACACTCAAAAGAAAACTTACTTAGTTATTTAAAGACATTTATTATTATTGCATATTATTTGAATAACATTCCCCGTTTAGAAGCACTTTTATTTATTCTACTTAACACAAGATAGCCGTCTTAAACACTCAATTATGTTATAGTCCTGTTTTAAAAGTCCGTTTATAATTTTATCAATGCTACAATTTTTTTGTACCATAGAATTTTGTCACCGCTTTTCTTTTTGATAAATTTCTTTTCTTGCAATTTTTCGGTCTTGAAATGCTGCTTCCTTTTTAATTTTCTGTATAAACAGAAAAATTGATGGCCGTTCTGTAATGCGAGCGTTGATGCGTCTATGCCATCCTTCGACCGCATTCGTCGTGCGAAATTTCTCTTTATAGCAACTAAAGGTATCAGAAGTGATAATCTCCATCCACTGCCTTCGGAAATAATCGTTGAATTTATTAAATTCTTCGGATTCAGGACCCATGTAAAAAAGCTCGAAATATCCTTCTGGTATAAAATTAGGAGGAAGTAATGCCAGCTGGATGTATAAAAGTGTCATATTTTTTTCTTCGTCGTCAATTTTTACTTTGACGCTATCAAAGTTAAGCTTCTTGCTCATTTTCCACACCGCATTAGAAAAATGGTAAAAGCACCCTGATACCTTTACTTCAGGAAATATTGATTTCACAGCGTTAATTGCGGCTAGCTCATAATCGCATTTGTAATATTCAATATTAATTGAAAATTGATGCTTTAAAATTGTAAATAATCTTTTATAGGTTTCTTCTTTTTTGTCTGGTAATAATATGTACAACAATGGTACAAAATTAACATCATCATCTTCTGCTAAATCGACATGTAACGTATATAATTGATAAAAAAGTTTGGGCACAACTCTAAAAGTACCATCGCCGTAAAACCTGCTGAATTTTTTAAAATATTTTTTTGCTAACGGCGTTCCGACAATTAGAATTTTGTCTTCATTTCCACAATCATATAAAAAAAATCCTTGACGAGGACGTCCGGCAGTCTTATATCTTCACGTCTTTTAAATGTAAGAGTCTTGCAATGTAAGTAGTCTAATCTTGCCTTTCTCAGCATATCTTTCACGCTTTCATATTTTGGTAAATATTCCTTTTGAACATCATGCTTTATGCTGTTAATGTCCAAATTGAGACATACTTGCTTTTTACATTCATCCATAATTTCATCAATAACGTTTTTTATTTTGTTCGGAACACATGAATGATTTGCTTTTCTTAAAATTTGATCTTTTGAATCCAGCGTGATTGATGTATTACATTCCGTTTTATTGTAGCATCTCCAATTACTTGTACCAGATTTGTTTTTCATTACGAAATTATAGCGAAAACCGTCGTGTAGAAGCACTGGCTTACCTCGTTTACTGCGAATAATTTTCAAATTTTCACTTTCTGTACGTGGGCCCGCATCATCCATCATAATAAATTAAATTCAATTATATCTCAGATAATACAATGAAAAAATACTGACTTGACTATAACAATGTCATTGTAAAATATATAATTTGTCATGTCACCATAAACCATAAGTGGCCATTATTAATGATAAGATAAACCAAAGAGTTTACATCATAATAATATTATTAACATCCTGACTGTACTCTGCCAAAACACGATTCTGCCCAATCCAGCTTCTGCCTTATCAAGTTTCTGTCCTATAGCGAATCTGCCGAACGACGCGCGAGGGGATATTATATATAAATTACTGTAGAAACGAATATTATTGACGGACACCCCTGAGAACTTCTATAAACCATATACACTGAACATATTAAAATAATAAAAAACAAATAAGTTATATAGTAAACTAGGGAAATCAAACCAAGTACCGAAATTATGGATTAGATTCAGGTATATAGAGCATGTAGATTAACAGATTAATTGCCTATTTTTAAAGTTAATGCATAAGAGTAACTTATAAAATCAGTTGTCATTTCCGGTTATAATAAGGTACTCTGTCACAGAAACTGTGTGATGATTGTGAATGAGCCACAGATTAGAGAGAATTTTTAAACTCTCGTTAACCAAAGAAAGCTAAGAGATTTAGGTTCTATAGCCATATATTCAGTAGCTTCATTATTTTTGTTATGTTTTTAAGATAACCATATTTTAGATTTTTAGTGTATCACACCTTATAATTTTATTTATTTATTAATTTATAGTCAAGGAGCGTAGGCCCATAGATAGATACCTTAAAGTCTAACATAATATATACAGATTATAATGTGTTTATGGAGGTGTTTGGCGAAAAATGTATGGCAATAGACTTTATGATGTCGCCTACCATCTATAATAATTGTCTGAGCACATTTGCATCTAGTGAAAATGATAATATAGTTGTGGGTATTAATACCACAGCGTAATAAAAAAAAATGATGTATTTTATCGATCTTTACAAAAAAGATTTGTTTTTATGTTATATAAACAACTTCGATCAGTCTTTGGCTGAATGTTACTACACCCATAGCCATTAAAAATGATTCGTATGTTTTCCAAACCGGTAAAATTAAAAGTCCTTTTTAAAGTAAATATATTATACAAAACGGTTGAAATCTAATGACTGTAAATTAAATTATAAATTACGCCAAGAATTACCATGTATATAAATATTTTTTGTGCATTTGGGCCAATTTGAGCAATCTTCTTTGAAGTAAATCCATGCAGTACTTTTTGAGTTTATCCCGGACATACAAACAAACAGACAAAAATTCTAAAGACTATATTTTTGGCTTCGGTATCGATTGTAGATCACACCCCAAGCATTCTTATAAAATAAATATTCAATGTAGTTTTGACTTTCCTACCATTTTATTATATGTATAGATTTTCATTTAATATCTGCTAGTTTTGTAGTGGTGAAATTTGTTTATAACGCGATATTTATTATGCTTATGTTCACAGAACACAGAAAGTTTAGAAGGGCCTTGTGGGAGGGGCAGGCGCACCACAGTTATGTGTGAGCAAATGCTCATAACTTGACCAAACCTTAGTTCAGTACCCTGAGCACGAACCAATATCGAATTCGTAATGTTTGCGAGTCCGAAATGTCATTGTCAAACGTCTACTGATTTTTAGTTCTCGTTACGTAGTTTGTGGCGCTGTTGTTCAAGTTTCCATACAAATTTGACATTGACATTTCGTACTCGCAAACGTTTTGAATTCGATATTGGTTTGTGCTAAGGGTACTGATTGCGTCATTGCTTTCGGGTGTGTGCGCCGATTGGTTCGAGTGTTTAATGTCGCGTCGTTTGATTGGCTATTATCTATTAGATGGAAGTGTAGTGGGGGCGAGTCGGCAACATAGGTTCCCGTACAAACGGTCTATGATCACCCTACTAACCTCATGAGTTTTGTGCAAATACCTTCTACAATTTTGATTTCTTTATAATATTTGCATCTATATATCTATATAAAATGAATCGAATTTCCTAAGCGAACGCCAGAAAATTCAGAAATCTTTTATTTTTAAGTTTTCTAATGCTTTCTAGTATGTGCTCAAGGAAAACAAATAAGAGTTGCACAGAATATTACAGAAATTTTAAGAAATCAGGTTACAACTGTACCCTACATGCAGTCAATGCAGTTCGGTTTTCAGGTTAGTCCCTTTTCATGCCAGTCTGTATATTCTCTTACTAGTAACTACTCAATGAATTCTGGTGCGATTTTCACCATTATAGAGCTAATTTTTCATATCTCTCATTATCTCTTTTAGAGATAAGTCCACCTTTGCTAAGTATGTATTTGACTTTCTGTTTTTAAACTACATGATGCAATAAAGAGTATAATAATAATAGTTTACATATCCACTTACTGAAAAATGAACATTGAATAAAACCTGACATTAAGTTAATTTTTGAGCAACAAAGTGGCGTATAAGCCATTTGCTTTTCCACTGTATATCCTTTATCATTCTTTAAATCACTCACTCTATAAATATAATATGATAGAATGGTAACATTTTTGAGTTATTTTGTAAGACCGTTTCTGTACCAGCCACGGAGCACCCCCACTAGTGTCCGCATCGCACAAATTTTGTTTGGAATCAAAATCGCCAAAGTCGGCGGCATGCAGGGAGGTCAGCCCCGTTGTGATTGGACGCGTCAAGGTCAGATCATATACTCAGTGCAGCGAAGTGAGGAGGGTAAGATCGATTTTAGAAAATGTCGATATTTCCTATCGATAAACAATTTAGTATAGAGGCCTAGTACTTTGGTGGGTTCTAATTACATGAGGCGACCAGTAACTACAAATATATAAGCAACACAAAAAAACACGTGACAAATATATAGATAGACAATAATATGATGATATTATCATAAAATAATTTTTAAAACTTAAAGCGTCTTACTCATCGGGTCAGTACGGATTCATTTCGTTTTGTTTGCAGGAGTGACAGCATAGGCGAGTCGAATGAATCGGTAGCATTCGGAAGCACTCGGCACAGCGAGCTAAGTATCCGCTCGGTAAAGATCTGTACGGGAACCACTTAGTGGGAAAGCTCTCACTTAATTATATGCACTCGGAAAGAATCTGTTCAGATTCGGTACAGAATCGAAAACAAAAGAAACTCGCACCGACCCAAAGATAAAGGCCCCTTAATTATTATTTTCTGGTACTTATGACAATAAAGAAATTTAGTAAAACCCATTTTTACGAAGATGTACTATTTATATTTAAATACATTATATTTTTGTACAGAAAATTATAACAATTCATCTTAAATTAAGTCAAAATGGGAAGATATCAAAAAGAGACCCCGACCACACGGATACGCGTCTCAAAAATGAGCCTTTTAAATTAGCTGCATGCGCACAATTCGCTGTAGTCGCAATTTGTCAAATAATATTGCAGATATTTTTTACTTGTTTTAAAAGATAAAATAATGCCTTCGACGATTTTAGAAAGTGCACAAATAGTTCACATAAGTTCACAAATAGCACAAATAGTTCGATTTATATATTTAAATTATTAATTTATTTTAGCTTTGCGGCATCTTGACTTTTCAGCGGTTCGCGCGTGACAGTGAACCAAGAAGTACTTGAGAGGAGCTCAAGCACTTCTTGATTGGGACGCATTTTGAGCGCTCATGGTGTATCTAGGCTATTTAATATCTTTAATTATATGTTTTTATCTAGGTCGAAAACTATGCGCATTTAATTTCATACAAATCTGTTTAGCCGTTTTAGCGTGAAAGACTAACAAATATCCATACAAATTTTCGCGTTTTCAAATTTTAGTAGGATATGTTTGAAATCAAATAAAAACTGTTGGTTGTATACTCATGACATCTGTTATTGAATACGATGAAATAAATAGATTTTATTTATTTTTTCCATTTCCATAGCTGACAAACTTATCGATAAAGTTACGGGTTGAGACATCAGCTGCGTCTACGTCACTAGCAATACACGTGCCGGTGTGAGACCGGGATAGCATATATGATATAGCGCATGCGAGAAAGGGACAATGTACAAAGACATCAACGCATTCACCAAAAAATAAATACAATTAACAGCAATTTAATATAAGAGTATTTTTGTCTTTTTGTAATGTATTTAAACTTGCCGGTGAAAAGTAATACTATATTTTTGAAGACTGGAAGTTTTACTCTACTTTCCACACAATTGAATTGCATTGTAAGGCATTTTTTACAGTTTTTTAACAAGAAAACGAGAGAAGCAGTTCGACCGACGCTCGGTTACCAAATGAAATGATGTATCGCGACGTCTGTGGGCGTGCCTCACGCATAGGTAAAATACTACTTTAGCTTGGCGTAAGCGCTTGCCTTGTATGCGGACTCTAGTGGGGGTGCTCCATGGTACCAGCTAATTAACGGATTTCGACGCAATTTCAACTCTAATTAAGCAAATTTTTCAGTGAGAAATTACATATAGATAGATCACTCAAATGAAACAAGTTTCAACGGTTATTTTATTTATTTATTGACGTTCGCAGCCTTTGCATAAATGCGGCGTCAGAATAATGACTTTTTGTTTAGTTTGTCGAGCTACCTTCGAAAGACTTATTGAGCATTCGGATATTTCATTGGAAGATTTTTAAAACTTTATTTTCTAATGTATGAATTTATTAGCTAATTTAATTAATAAGGTACTTTATTTCAAATTCTTTTTTATAACTTTGAGTTTATTTATTTGACCTAACCTAACCTAACTACCGTAAACTTGTTTTTATTTAATGAGTGATGTGCGTGAAAACCTAACAAACAAAACTTTTTAGGCCAATTGGTGTGAGTGTTGGAAATATTTATTTATTTAAATCACTCTCTATAAATACAATATCATAAAATGGTTAAATTTTTGAGTTATTTTTTTGTAAGACTGTTTTTGTACCAGCTAATTAACGGATTTCGACGCAGTTTTCACTTTAAACCTGAAGAAGAGCATTGAAGAACATGAGAAGAAGTAATGTGGACCGTCAGGAAGGCTTTTTGCTACCCATATCAGGAGTTACTGCCCAGCCCGGGACCCTAAATTACTCCATGAGTACCGTGTCCGTGACCGTGTTGCCTGACTTCAGTTTGCTCGAAACTGCTTCTTGGTTCATCACATAACAATCTGCAGTCACGCGCAAGGAAATTTTTCAGGGAAAAGTTACATGTAGATCACTCACTCTGTTGCTCCTTCCCAGTGCCCTTGTCTCTGGCGGAAACGTGCACAATCCCGTTGGCATCAATATCGAATGTGACCTCAATCTGTGGCACGCCTCTAGGCGCTGGAGGAATGCCGACCAGAGAGAATTGGCCTAGAAGTTTGTTGTCTGTTGCCATTTCACGCTCGCCTTGGTGGACTTTGATCTCGACTTGGGTCTGGCCGTCGGCAGCTGTTGAGAAAATAAGTTAAATGAAATTTCAATAGGAATTTATTTTATTGAAGTGAAAACTTCTTTAGCGGCGTTGTACACGTGGCCTGATCGCGTCCTAATCGAAAATTCGTAACACGAAAACAATAAAATTGGAAAGGTTGTTGAGTTTCAATATATTGGACGAAACATAATTAGGACGTCCAGGGGGCCAATCGCCTAACGAAAATGCTTTGGAAAACGCTAACGCATTCGATTATATTGAGTTATTTTTAACCCCGAAGATTTTCAAATACATCACACTATACTTTTTAATATTATTATTACCAATGCAAAAGAAAAAAAAAGAGCGCGAGGCATTTGAAAAACCTTAGGCGACTGGAAATAAGAATATGAAGTCGTAAGCGATAGCGTTTTCCAAAGCATTTCCGTTAGGCGAATGGCCCCCAGGTGGCAGCTTTATTGCGAAGAAAATGCATTTTTTTACAATAGATGTCGCAGAAAATGAGTCAGATAACAATCCACTTACCAGTAGAGAAAACTTGGCTCTTCTTGGTCGGTATCGTTGTGTTCCTGGTGATTAGTTTGGTGAAAACTCCTCCTAAAGTCTCGATTCCCAGTGATAATGGAGTCACGTCGAGCAGCAATATGTCTGTCACATCTCCGGCTAATACTCCGCCTTGGACTGCAGCTCCTACGGCAACGGCTTCATCGGGGTTGACTGCCCGGGATGGAGCTCGACCAAAGATTTCTTGGACCGTTGATTGGACCTAGGGTAAAGCGAAGGAAACATTATTGTAGCTGATGATCATACTACATCATCATTAGACTTTTAATGTTCCCACTGCTGGGGCACAGGCCTTCACCAAGGATGGCAAAGGGAGTTTGGGTCATGACCCATCACGCGAGCCCAGTGCAGATTAGTGGGTGCTAACGACTGCAGATAGAGCCGGGACCAACGGCTTAAAGTGCCTTCCGAAGCACGGAGGAGCTCGAAATAGCAAATAATTGGTCACCCATCCAATGACGTGTCGGTCGGATCCATTGTGAAAGTTGATTGAATTCCATGATCTTAGGGCGATCGCCCTTACCACCTGCGCCATCGTCCTCCATAAGATGATATTTGAAAGATTTGGAGCAGTCTCAATCTCAGTACTTTCATTTGAGAAGTCTATTCTATACAGTGACTCCAAATTATGAAGTCAGTCAGTCGCTTAGACTTAAATTGGAGATTTTTTATTTGGTATAATAATAACACAAAAGTTGTCCACTTAAAGCTGTAGATAGCAGTTTTGTTATAATTAAAACAAGATAGATCATGCTTGTCCGATTTTAGATTATTCTAATGCAATCTAAAGGTTATTGTCTGTAGGATTATAACCTAATGAAGTACAGACTCCAACAGGGAATATGTCCTCAATTCAATATGGCACCCGTCTAATAAGACTGCCTAGACAGTTATGGAACTGACATCGGTTTGTGCTAGGTGCGTGATTAATTATTATTATATAATATGGAATAATCTCTGAAATATAAACAGAACATTTGTGACAGTCACAAAATTGCCAAAGAAAAAAAAATTAAATGAATGAAAAACTATACTAAACTAAATTTTCAAGGTTGTAATATAAGTATCGATATAAGGCAACAACGAAAAAACCCTAAGGTAATCTTCAGATTACAAGTTTGAAACTGAAGAAAATTAAAAGCATTTTTAGAAATATATAGGACTTATTTATTTATTTATTAGGACCACCAGAGAAAGTTGCAATAAATCTTATTTCTAAACATTATAGTGATATATGCAAAATTCTATTGAAGGTAGCCACATCATGCTTAAGAGACAGTACGAACGGATCGAATTTTAATTAAATAAACAAACAGAAACACAAACTGAACTTTATTTTAGTTCTATGTCCACTTTGCATCTATGTATTTACAAAACTCAGAAGGATTCAACCAAATTTACCTTTTAAATAATTTTAATGCTTCTCGTATACTACAACACTAACCTTAGGCATTCTAGTCATTCCACCGACGAGCAAAACTTCGCCGATGTCAGACCGTTGGACCTCAGCATCTTGCAAGGCCTTCTGGCACGGTGGCACCGTTCGCTTGATTAAATCTCCCACTAGAGACTCTAGCTTGGACCGGGTCATCTGTTAAAATAAATATTCAAACACTTATATCGAGTTACATTGTAGTATATATAATACTTGATGAGTTACATACAAGCACATAAATTAAGGTTTTATGTACCCTTTTGATCCCTCTATATTTAGGGATAAATGCTCTGGACGTCTCTGTGTCTTCATGGATAGAAAGCATAGAAAATCTTGTTTATTGTTTATTCCCAGTTGCCCCCATGGAATAGCCACCGGAGGCAAATGGGAATGATATATATTCCCATTTGCCTCTGATGGCAATGCCCGTGGGGGCGAATAGGAATATACGAATTTATCCTTAGGGGTAAGGAAGATACCAAAACCTTCATTAATATGCGCATATTTAACCCATAAATATTTAAAATCTAAGGAATATTTAATTTATAGATTCATACTAATACAATATTAAATGACTCCACCTAAAATACACTTACTCATTTCACGTGAAGTATTTATCATGTGACAAAATATTTTGATCTAATACGTTCAATAAACAGAGCGGGTGGTTTACATTAGTCTTTTTTTTAGCACATTTGCAGTATTTAAATACAATTTTCTGTACTGAACACGTGATTTGTCAAAGGGTGCATAATAATTTTATCTGTCCTATAATTTCAAGATGCTAATTTTGATGAAAGAAAGAAGTATATAAATAGTGAATACTATTATTTTTTCTTTTATACATACACTGCTGTCGATACCTGCATGATTCTCTAAACTTAAATTTAACTCTCCTCAAGTCTCTCCTTTTTTTTAATGACAAGACAAATAGATTGATGACTTTGATGAGCAAATACATATTGCTCGACTTCAGCTTCAATCGAATTTAAACATTTTAATAATAATTACAAAAAAATTTCTAAAACAGTGGGTACAGGAAAGATTAATACCCTGATTTCATCCATCCAAAGACATCTTAAAAACTAGATTACAATTAAATATTTCGTGTCCTGAATGTGTGTATATGCAATGTATTAATATAATAATATTTATAATAATGTCTCACCTTTAAGTTCATGTGTTTGGGTCCCGAAGAGTCCATGGTGAGATATGGAAGGTTGATGTCGGTTTGAAGCGATCCGGACAGTTCGATCTTGGCTTTCTCAGCGGCTTCCTTGAGACGTTGCATGGCCATAGCGTCCTTGCGAATGTCCAAACCTTGCTGTTGACAATTATATGAAAATAATAAATGCTTTTCAAAATAAATCATCTTTATAGCGAATATAGGTTACAAAGTTGTTGTTTGTTGTTACCCAGATACATTTTAGTACAGTACAGCCATATTCCACCATCAAATATGTAATTTTCTTTGGTTTTCGATATTCCAAACAAAAGAGAATTATCAAAATCGATACATCTCGGTGTACATGTTTCTTGTCAAAATAGTTTTTTATGGTTTTCTTTTATTACCTTTTTTACCCTTCATCATCATCCTATTATAGTGCCTACTGCTGGGGCGCAGGCCTTCCCTATGGATGAAATAGGAAGTTTAGGCCCCGACCCACCATGCGAGTCAGTGCAGATTGTTGGGTGCTAATGACTACAGATGCAGCCGGGACCAACGGCTTAACGTGCCTTCCGAAGCACGGAGGAGCTCAAGACACTAAATTTTTGGTCACCCATCCTATGACCGACCACTGCGAAAGTTGCTCAACTTCAACGATCGCAGCCGAACACGCTAACCACTTGCGCCATCGATCTCCCCTCACCCTTACGATTACAAAAAATTTGAAAAACGACCCGAAATTGAAGTTTAGCAAGCATACAAAAAGAATACAGTCCAATTAAATACCCTCTCCCGATTAAAGTATTGTATTTTGTTATTTATATTCAGGAGGCACACATTGACGGCTTTTTTTATGTTCTTTCCTTGCGCTGGCCTGCTGGAACAGATTTCAATACGAAACAAGCAGTGCCATTGTACAAATTCATCTTGTTCATGTTCTACTTATCTTGTTTCTTTGTGTGTATACTAAATTAGTAAATAAATAAATAATGTATGCATATAATAAAATGGTAGGAAAGTCAAAACTCTATATTGAATTTTTTTTAAAACAATGCTTGGGGTGTGATCTACAATCGATACCGAAGCCAAAAATACAGTTTTTAGTATTCTTGTCTGTTTGTCTGTATGTGTGTCCGGGACAAACTGAAAAAGTACTGCATGGATTTACTTAAAATTTGGCACGAATATTATTAAAAAGTCGGGTCAACATATACGCTACATATTATCACGCTATCACCTACGGGGAAAGAGCAGTGAACCTTTATTTCTAACTCGTTGGTTGAAAAGAACTTGTAAATACTGTTATTACTCACGTCTCGTTTGAACTCATCGACCAAAAAGTTGACGATGACATTGTCAAAGTCTTCCCCACCAAGCAGTGTGTCACCGTTGGTCGACTTCACTTCGAACACTCCCTTCTGAATCTCCAGTACGGAGATGTCGAATGTGCCACCACCCAAGTCGTACACGGCGATACTGGAAAATTGGATATTTGATAGGTTTTAGAAAAGAATCTCACGTTACGAGGTTAGAGATAAGGAGAATGATCGCTGTAGAAAATATTGTCCCAATAAAAGCGGGCTAATTTGAAATGACGAATGCCGCGAAGAAAATTTGTACAATACCATCCATACCATTGGATGGTATTTACTAATGTTTACATTAAAAGTGGATATTTTTAATTCTGTTGAGTAATCCAGTAGAAAAACTAAATTAAAAATCTGTTTTCAAGTTGCCGCGAAATTATGGTCTCACTAATGTGTGACGTCACACGACTGTCATTACAACGTGAAACGATACAATGTAAAGTCACTTTGGCGGGAAGTTTACTAGCGTGTGACATCATTTTAGTCTTGACCAATCCCAGGCTATTTCAGTCACTTGACCAAAGAGCAAAAAAATCATTTCGATTTAATGATTCTATAGAAAAGTTATTAATTTTTGTACTTTCAGAAAAGTACTGTTTAGTGAGTGTATTGTGATTATTTGTGATTAACATTGTTTATTAGCTGTGTGATGAATAAAGTACTGTCAACACGTAACCGTCCGACACGTAACAATTACAACAGCAGTTTCGGAAATTACTCCTGAAAGCGAATTAAAACCCATACAGATAAGAGTTCTAAATATTTTAAAGTGTTTTGATAATAGTTATAAAGTATTAGATTTTGAAATATAACATCAAGAAACTTCTGGGAGGGAAAGGGGGGTCCCACCATTTGTCACACAATTTCACACTTCGTCAACTGTTCGTCATCGTTATACACTTTATACCTTAACAATTGACGACCTCCGTGGCCGAGTGGTTTGTACGCCGGGTTTCATGGTGTCGCCCACTCGAGAGGTCCCGGGTTCGAACCCAGTGGGGACAGATGTTTGTCTGATGAATACGAGCATTTACACTCCAGTCATGGATGTTTAATATGAATTCTATATAAATATACTTATATATTCTACCCGTTACCCTAGCATCCCATAACACAAGCCTTACAGTGCTTACTTTGGGGCTAGGTTAATTGGGTTTATAAAAATTCTTTATCTGTAATTACATAAGTATAAAACATAACCATAAGCACCCTAAAATTGAATCGACTTGAATGTTAAATCACATTTTAAAGTTAATTCATGCCTCTGGGCCAACACGAATTAGAAATAATATGAACTGCAGACTGTTCTTAAAAGTGGTTACGTGCAAATTGCGGTCAAGTAGGCGGGGCGAAAAAACTGCGATCAACACCGATCATGGGACTGGTTGGTATTTCTGTTTAACATTATCCTGCCCAATGAATGGATAGCCGAATTCATTTGCATATATTTGATTTGTCAAAGTATTTTGGTTTTGTGTGTGTGCGTGTGGAGTTAGAATTGATGTTTAGTTGTATGACTTTGGATTTTGGAACCATGTTATAGCGGTCTTTGTTAATGAGTGATGTTTCTATATAATTTCCAATTAATTTCCGTAAGCTACTACAGTTGAATTGAATCTAAAATCAAACTTTAAAGTTTAGTCATAGCTCTGGGCATAAATTAGACATAAACAAATCAAATAATTATTTCTCAATTTAACTCACATTTTATCATCAGTCTTGTCCATGCCGTAAGCTAGGGCGGCCGCAGTGGGTTCGTTTATAACTCGCAGTACATTCAAACCAGCAATCTGACCTGAATGGATAGGAATCAAAACACTTATTAATACATATATATTTATAAATGTTTTGTTTAAAAGCTACTTATTATATTTAGTAAAATATTGTTATGTTCAACTAAACAAAAAATCGTATTTGCCATAATCAATACAAATTCTTATTACACACTAAACGACCCGGTGTACTCCGTACCACCTATCCTATCGACATTGAAGCTCTCCCTTCAGTAAAATGGCAGAAAATTTTGATCGGCCCAAGCAGAGATTTTTAGATTTACACGAGCGCTTTAGAATAACATACGAGGTAGGAAATTTGCACCAATTAAGTACTCCTACCAAACCTGAGCCATCTATATAGGGGCGAACGTCGTCGTCGGCCTTGACTTTTGGTCGCGTCCAAATAATTTTATACTACATTAAATAAGCAGGTTTTAAACTGTTTCAGATTCTCTAAAACAAATTATCCTTTTTTAAATTTGCAATTTAATTACTTTAATTAATATAATACTACAATTAATTATAATAATGACATTAATGGAATACTTACCAGCATCTTTGGTGGCTTGTCTCTGCGAGTCATTGAAGTAAGCCGGCACAGTGATCACAGCGTTCTTCACCGAAGTGTTGAGGTACGCTTCGGCAGTCTCCTTCATTTTCACCAGAACAAAAGCTCCGATCTGACTGGGGGAGTACACTTTGCCATCGCTACCTGTTAGCGGATTAAAGTATATCTTTATTTTTGTGTCTTATGTATGTTTTATCTTTTTATAAGGAACTTCATTAAACTGGAACTGAACTTCTTTTTTTAAAACCTAGATGATATTAAAAACTTAACCTAGATGTTGTCCGATTCTCAGACCTTCTGAATACGCATATAAAATTTCACGAAAATCGGTCGAGCCGTTTCAGAGTAGTTCAATTACGCACACCGTGACACGAGAATTTTATATATTAGATAAACTCCTAAGTAACTGTCAGCGTATCAACCTGTCAATTTGTTACTATCTATCTATCATCAGCCTTTTCATGTCCTCACTGCTGGGGCACAGGCTTTCCCTATGGATAGACTAGGGAAATTGGGCCACGACCCACTATGCAGACCCAGTGCAGATTGGTGGGTGCTACCGACCACAGATGCAGCCGAGACCAATGGCTTAACGTGCCTCCTAAAGCACGGAGAAGCTTGAGAGATAGTTAATTTTTGGTCACCCATCCAATGACCCACTACTGCAAGTGCCATCGAGCTCCTCATATTGTTGTTACACTTCCATCCAATTGATAAATTTTGCTACCACAAAAAGGTTTTTGTCAACAAAATAAAGTTTTAAAGTAAATGATTTTATAATGAACAAATGGGAAAATTATTGTCTGCAGAGCAAATCAGCTCGGCTTATCTGAAATTGTATTTCCACAGGGTATTTCTAACATCTAGATTTCCTGACTCACCTTGCACCCAAGCATCTCCATTTGAAGCTTTGACAACCTTATAAGATAGATTCTTCATATCCTTCTGCACTTCGGGGTCCTCGAATCTTCTGCCAATCAACCGCTTGGTGGCGTAGAAGGTATTGCCGCTGTTTGTGACCGCTTGGCGTTTGGCTGGCGTGCCAACTAGCCGTTCGCCATCTTTCGTGAAAGCGACGTGAGATGGCGTTGTTCGCGAACCTTCGCTATTTTCCACCACCTGGTGAATTCGTGAAATATTTTCATGATTTATATAGGGTATAGAAGATGCGCACTCAAGTTGCAACCTTGAAAGTACCCTTTAGCTAAAAGGAAGTTGATAACCTCTCATAATTTGTTTCTAGTGACAGATTTCTGCCAAGAGTTGAGAAAATTATTTTCATATTTTGCGTTTTATCCCAATCCAACATTTCAAAAATTACATTAGTAAGAGAGTGGCATGAATGACTGACAAGAACTTCTACATGTATTACATATAGGAGGTACATTTCAAAAATTGTTTTAGCAAGATTGTGGTATGTATAACTGACAAGACAATTAAAGACAATGGGTGTATTCCGAAATATACATCCGTATACTGGCCAGTGGTAATGACGTCACGAATCCGACGCCATATTGTACTGGTATGCTACCATATTTTGACCGGGAAAACGGATATGACGTATGACCGAGCGTGCGTGAGATGCATTCGAATTTTATTTCATTTTTATTTAAAGAACAGCAATGGCATCCGAACTAAAAGAATATCTTTCAATTGATGAGGTGAATAAAAATCTTCTATAGTCGCGCACTATTTTTAATATTTCGTCGATTCATGACGTCATTAGCACTGGCCAGTATACTGGTATATATTACGGAATACACCCAATATAAGTATTATTTGAACACAAAGTCACCATTAATGCATATTAAATAAGGTCTTAATTTAAACGCATGCGTCAAACAGTCATAATAGTTCGAAATTTTACGACTTGTTGCTATGGGCGGAAGAATATAGACTTTATTTCTTTGACTCTATAATGTAATTCTGAATGAGCTGTTAGCAATATAGCAGGAACGTCGTATTTTTCGCATTTTTTTCCATAGCTCTGCGGCATGTTGACTTTTTAACGGTCCGCGCGTCACTGTGAACCAAGAAGTGCTTGAGTCGTGTTCAAGCACTTCTTGATTGGTGCACATTTTGAGCGCACGTGGTGTATCTAGGGGTATTAAATATTGTTGATTCAAATAGATAGTTAATATAACTTATGAATTACCTTTGGCGTCTTGCCTTCCATAACGGCCACACAAGAGTTTGTGGTACCCAAGTCAATACCAATGACTGCACCGCGAACTCCATCTGACCTAAAAGAACAGACTATTTACTACAGAATTGATTATAGAATGTCCATGCTTAAACTTCAGGCTTTCAGGTATGGAACAACAGGTCGGTCAGAATCACCTACCTACTTCCTTAATATTTTGCTTGAAATTGTAAAAACAGCAAAGTTTTCTTCCATAAAGAACACATAATAGCACTAAGAACCTTTTAGTAAAATGAAACCACGTCATTAAAGTTATAACAACCTTGGACCTTTGTCACTGAGAAAGTAGATTATATTTTACATAAAATTGGAATAATGGTTCTGAAGTAATAAACGTAAAACATGGTGACACTGTTAATAAAATTCTAATCTATGAGTAAAACTTCAATTAAGAAACTTCTAAATTATACGCCACAAGGAGGTGATAAATTGATATTTTTTAGAGATACATGCAAAATTTCGACCTTGTTGTATTTAAATGTTAGGGAAATAATAAGCTTTAGGTGGGTCATGCATAAATTAGACTTAAAGTACATGGCACATTATAAAAATATGTAAACAGGATCCATACAGCCACAGATAACATAATATTTGCGACTCATATGAACCAGAATATTGTTTTAGCACCACCGCAAAGGTCTTTCGCACAGTGGTACGGAGACCGCTCAATGGTGCATATTATTAATTGATGTTATTCAAAAAGTCTGAACCTAAAGTGAACATAATATGTATATCTAGCATCAACATAAACAATAACTTTTGCTTTATTAATTTCAATTGAACATTAATAACAATAAACTTTTGTCCCCTTTGGCTACTATCCAATATATGTTGGAATATGTTATCATATAATTTAAATACATTGAATAAGCGTGTAATATATATTTTTCGAGTCATGCTTAGAAGCTGAGTAAAAACTGGAGCACAACCTCTTTAACCGAACTCTGAAAATTTCCCCCAGTTTGGATTATTGGAACGTTGGGATATTATATTTCAGAGAATGTATGGGTATTTTTTATGAAATAAATTTAATACTATTCTGAAATTTCAAATGTTAATTTTTCTATAAACATTACATAAATGAAACTTTTATAAAGAAATCCAATATTTTAGTTTGTTCACCATATTTAAAGACTAAGTATTTCATCTTGCAATTTACATAAGTTTTTTTTCTGGCAAGGGAATGTGAATGAATTTGGCCAGTGTGTGTCAATTGAATATCAGAGATGTGTTAAGCCATACTATTCACTAAATTTTTTGACATTTAGAAATAATTCACAACTAAAGAGAAAATTGCATATCCATCGATGCTTTTGAGAACAAGTATCTTAATGGCGTTAACAATAAAGCAGTAGTGGATCACTAAATTACTGTGATTATCACTTCCATCTGTCAAAACCAGTTAGCGAATAGGCCTACTGATTCGACAGGGTTCAGACTATAGAGGTCCTGCTGTATTCTCTATAACCTCAACGGCAATATTTGGTACAGGTCGAATCCATTTACTATCTTTCTATGCTTCCTCTTTCCAATTTCGGTCTGCGCCCCTGGCTGTATCAAATAGCAGCCTCGAGTACAGACAGTATGTTATTAAACACATTAAAATTTGAATAAGAATAACCTAGTTAAAAGACATATTGTAAATACATTATTAAATAAAAATACTATAAAAAAAACTAGTATGTGTTTAAAATTCATTTATCACAGATAGTCATCATGGCTGCGATAGTGCATAAACTTAATTATTACACATTTTTAATTTGGTCAAGATTTTGACTATCCAATAGGGACAATCACAGACACAATTCTCTTTGCTAGCTCGTATGTAATAAGTAGTACTTATGTATTGTACATTTATACCCCATTTAGTGTGAACTTTACATGAAAAAGATCTGTTCTTGGCCAAAGAGCACTACAATATTCATGTACAGACGTAAAAATACGTAAATTTACATAAACTTTGATATGAATGACTGATAAATCTAATGCGCATACAAATGTCAGACTTCAATCTGTATGTTAGGTTATGATGAAACAGTTGTGTAAAACTATATTCTTTGTACTTACTTGTTCCTGTATTGGAGTGAATGTCGCTGATAGATGGGCACTGTTGGTGTTGCAGCCTGGAATACCGAAAATATGATGATTATACTGCAGACATAAAATTATGTAAAACAATTCACGTGCCTCTATCCGCGAACCGGTATGACTTCAATGAAATTGTAATCAATTAATTTGGAATACGAAGTTAACTTAGTAATTTAATAACATCTTCATGACATTTTCATATTTCATATGACAAACGATTTTCATTCGTTTTTCCCAAGTGAAAATGGTCACTTACGGTTTTGAGAATTGTTGAGAAATTCCTGTGTGTGTAAAAGTCGGATCCAATGCCTGAACATTCCAGGGCCTTACGGCTGATAGCCCGCGTCGCGCACAGCATTTTTATTACGCTTTTATCAACTATTTAATTTATTTTTATATTTCAATTCACTTCAAACAGAACATGTGGGTGACGCAACTTCATGAAAGAACGATCTAACTTTTTTTTTTCGTGCACTCTTCTATTTTGTTGCCGCATCTGAAAATGGCTCACTCGATAGAACATTCTCGTTTTAATTTTGACAGACAGTATGTCTTCATTGACACAAAAATAAAAAAATGTGATTGGTTCGTTTGCTGACTAGTAATTTAATGAACCAATGATATTTTTCCATTTGCACTAAAAGCTATATAGACTATAGTACCATAAACAAAATACAAAATGTATTTTCAACAAATTATTTTCTTTGCTGGACTTCGTGTTACTGCTGCCATCTAGCGTCAAGTAGCAAAACATTAAAGTGCCATCTCGTGACAAAAGGTCAAACTAAGAATCAGTGTGACCAGACCAAGGCACCAAGTCGGTTTTTGTCCTTTATTACACAACAAGTTGAAAATGTGCGTGCTAGCACATTTTCATTAAAAGAATCCTTTTTCACTTCTTTTCAATGTTATCTGGAATACAGTATAGCAGTAGTATATCCAATTGAATAAAAACTATGTTAAAAACAAATTTTATTTAATAAATATTTTTTTTTTGACCGACTTACAAATAGGTATGTACTTTGTTCTCACAAATGGAACTACCTTAAAAGGTTGTACCTCCAGTACTACTTTAATCAAATAATCTGAATAATATATGTATATCAATCATGTGATTACTACTGGGCAAAAGATTTCACTGTAGAAAGTATCATAGAATAGTAATTACTACCTAGTAAACAGTCATTCCACGAAATCATGCGGGAAGCCGCTACATGGTCGCAAGGACTGATCGGTTTGGAATTAATTGGGGGAGGGAGGCCTATGTCCAGCAGTGGGCGTTTCCCGGCTTATAATATCAGCCCAGGATAACGATAAGCCCCATAATACATATGATCATGATGAGTACACAGTAACAGTAAAAGAATGCGAAATGTCAATATCACATTTTGTATTGACACAACGGACGTAACGAGAAATAAAAATCAGTACACATTTTTCGTATTAAAATAGAGAATTCAACTATTCGAATTTGATAATTGTTCGTGCTAAGGGTACCGTAGCTTTCTCTATCCAGGCAGATACCTTAACCTACATGCTACTATGTCCAGGCTCCTCTAGCACCTCCTAGACGGCCTTCCGTCTTCCAGGACTGGAAGGACGTGAACTCTTCTCAGGACTGGAAAGACGTGAACTCTTCCCAGGACTGGAAGGACGTGAACTCTTCCCAGGACTAGAAGGACGTGAACTCTTCCCAGGACTGGAAGGACGTGAACTCTTCCCAGGACTGGAAGGACGTGAACTCTTCTCAGGACTGGAAGGACGTGAACTCTTCTCAGCACTGGAAGGACGTGAACTCTTCTCAGGACTGGAAGGACGTGAACTCTTCTCAGAAATGGAAGGACGTGAACTCTTCCCAGGACTGGAAGGACGTGAACTCTTCTCAGAAATGGAAGGACGTGAACTCTTCCTAGGACTGGAAGGACATGAACTCTCCTCAGGACTGGAAGGACGTGAACTCTTCCCAGGACTGGAAGGACGTGAACTCTTCCCAGGACTGGAAGGACGTGAACTCTTCCCAGGACTGGAAGGACGTGAACTCTTCTCAGGACTGGAAGGACGTAAACTCTTCCCAGGACTGGAAGGACGTGAACTCTTCCCAGGACTGGAAGGACGTGAACTCTTCCCAGGACTGGAAGGACGTGAACTCTTCTCAGGACTGGAAGGACGTGAACTCTTCCCAGGACTGGAAGGACGTGAACTCTTCCCAGGACTGGAAGGACGTGAACTCTTCCCAGGACTGGAAGGACGTGAACTCTTCCCAGGACTGGAAGGACGTGAACTCTTCTCAAGACTGGAAGGACGTGAACTCTTCTCAGGACTGGAAGGACGTGAACTCTTCTCAGGACTGGAAGGACGTGAACTCTTCTCAGGACTGGAAGGACGTGAACTCTTCCCAGGACTGGAAGGACGTGAACTCTTCCCAGGACTGGAAGGACGTGAACTCTTCCCAGGACTGGAAGGACGTGAAGTCTTCCCAGGACTGGAAGGACGTGAACTCTTCCCAGGACTGGAAGGACGTGAACTCTTCTCAGGACTGGAAGGACGTGAACTCTTCCCAGGACTGGAAGGACGTGAACTCTTCCCAGGACTGGAAGGACGTGAACTCTTCCCAGGACTGGAAGGACGTGAACTCTTCCCAGGACTGGAAGGACGTGAACTCTTCTCAAGACTGGAAGGACGTGAACTCTTCTCAGGACTGGAAGGACGTGAACTCTTCTCAGGACTGGAAGGACGTGAACTCTTCTCAGGACTGGAAGGACGTGCACTCTTCTCAGGACTGGAAGGACGTGAACTCTTCTCAGGACTGGAAGGACGTGAACTCTTCTCAGGACTGGAAGGACGTGAACTCTTCTCAGGACTGGATTGACGTAAACTCTCCTCAGGACTGGAAGGATGTGAACTCTCTTCAGGAAGGGCAGTTTTTCCAAGACGAAGGTACATTGTCAAGTGGGATAAAAAGTAATAAAATAGCAACAAAAATTATTGAGGACTGGAAGGACGTGAACTCTTCCCAGGACTGGAAGGACGTGAACTCTTCTCAGGACTGGAAGGACGTGAACTCTTCTCAGCACTGGAAGGACGTGAACTCTTCTCAGGACTGGAAGGACGTGAACTCTTCTCAGAAATGGAAGGACGTGAACTCTTCCCAGGACTGGAAGGACGTGAACTCTTCTCAGAAATGGAAGGACGTGAACTCTTCCCAGGACTGGAAGGACGTGAACTCTCCTCAGGACTGGAAGGACGTGAACTCTTCCCAGGACTGGAAGGACGTGAACTCTCCTCAGGACTGGAAGGACGTGAACTCTCCTCAGGACTGGAAGGACGTGAACTCTCCTCTGGAATGGAAGGACGTGAACTCTTCTCAGGACTGGAAGGACGTGAACTCTTCTCAGGACTGGAAGGACGTGAACTCTTCTGAGGACTGGATTGACGTAAACTCTCCTCAGGAGTGGAAGGACGTGAACTCTCTTCAGGAAGGGCAGTTTTTCGAAGACGAAGGTAAATTGTCAAGTGGGATAAAAAGTAATAAAATAGCAACAAAAATTATTGAGATCGTTTTATTGCACACCGATATCATCCTATTAACATTATTTATCACTTTCGGCCGTACTCAGAGACGCTTAGATTTAGTGCCTGTCGAAGCATGTGTCTTAATAGAAATTGTTATCGCAAAGAAATAGAAGATTCATATTTTCTTTAGATTTAAACATCGAGCAGTTACGTACTTAAAAAGAAGATTAACTTTAACGTTAAAATAATTTATTTTTAAATTTATTCATGTATATATTTAAACTAGTTACATAATTCATCAGTTTACGTTCCTATATTAAGTTAGTGGATGAAAAAGTTTTTTTTGTTTTAGTGTAAAATTAAATTTCTTTTAATAGGTTCAAATAAATACGTCTCTAAGTGGAACCTGTTTCATACCAAATCCATAGGGAGTTAATATTAATAATTTACATTTAGAAATACCAAATTTACATTAATAGATTCCTACCATTTGCACGCAACTATATTAAACCTCTCTCCAGTTTAGATAAATTTAGAGCCAATAGATTTATAAAAATATGTATTTATATTATAATTGAGCCACATACATCATTTTGGTTAATCTGTTCGTTGCGGCCACTTAGTGTAAACGAGGAGTAAATTTATTACTTGTCAGAAAAAATATTAATTTGTTTCTTAAAAACAGTAATGTTCACACACTTAATACAAGAAACAAAAATAAACTAAATAAAACTAGTTTTTTACGGGTTAATGCACGAAAACTTTATTTATTTATTGACGTTTCGTAGTCTTTACAGGCTACGTCGTCAGAAGCCTGTAAAGACTACGAAACGTCAATAAATAAATAAAGTTTTCGTGCATTAACCCGTAAAAACTAGTTTTATTTAATGAGTGATGTGCGTGAAAACCTAAGAAACAAATAAAAATAAACTAACTTTACCTGCTACTAGGCTTCACAAAATTATTAATTCATTTAAAGGTCTTTGTGTTCGCTTATACAATAAAGTCCCAAGCAATATCCAAGAGTTAGTTAACCATAAATAAATTTAAAGATAGTATAAAAAACTTATTAAAAAAGCTTACGAAGTATCTGATTATATTATAGACAAAAATGATTCGGTTTGAACTGTTCCAATCATTCCAACAGGTTTTCTATATTAAATCAATCATAATTGTATTAACGTTGTAACAACATAATGATTTGTAAACGTTGTCACATTAGACTTTTAATGTTGTGGAGTTTTTTTCGCTCGTTTTTCTCCGCAGCTAAAAAATATGTCCATAACGAGTGGTAGGGAAAAAAAATTTGGACGATTCAAAAGAGTTGTACTATACATCCAATTTGTATAAAGATATATTGATTTCTGATCTCTGAGTAATAAACAGATTTATCATTGTGAACGGACTTGTAGACCTAGATCACAGAACACAGAAAGAGAAGTTGACCAAAACTTGGTACTGATTGCGTCGTTGCTTGCGAGTGTGAGCGCTGATTGGCTCGATTGTTTGAAGTCGCGTCGTTTGATTCGCTATTATCTAATAGGTGGAAGTGTAATGGGGTCGAGCCGGTGACATCGGTTCCCGTACTAACGTTCTATAATAACCCTTCGTAATAACTTCTAACCTCTTTCTGTGTTCTGTGGCTTAGATAGACCACGATACATACATAAGAAAGTAAAGAATAATCAGTACTAGATTATTATCTATCTATTATTAGCGTAGAATTATTTGCTAGTGATGATGACTAACTTTTTTCTTAGTCTATCAGGAAGATGATCATAAAGTATTGCAATGGATACGTTTTTTCTCGACACGCAAAGTCGGGCGCAGCGGAGATATGCGTGTTACTAACAGGTCTAGTCCACAGCAGTAAAGGTATGCCTGTTCCTAACAGGTCTACACGGACGCTGATAATATATACGTGTTCCTAACAGGTCTAATCAGCCACAGCGAAGACATGCGTGTTCCTAACTGGTATTGTCTACAGCAATAGAGGTATGCTTGTTCTTATATATACGTGTTCCTAACAGGTCTGGTCGCACGCACTGGAGAGATGTGTGTTCCTTAAAGGTCTAGTAGATTGTAGCACAGATATGCGTGTTCCTAACAGGTCTAGGTGGACACACTGGAGAGATGTGTGTTCCTTAAAGGTCTTGTAGATTGTAGCACAGATATGCGTGTTCCTAACAGGTCTAGGTGGACACACTGGAGAGATGTGTGTTCCTTAAAGGTCATGTAGATTGTAGCACAGATATGCGTGTTCCTAACAGGTCTAGTTGAATGCACTGGAGAGATGTGTGTTCCTTAAAGGTCATGTAGATTGTAGCACAGATATGCGTGTTCCTAACAGGTCTGGTCGCACGCACTGGAGAGATGTGTGTTCCTTAAAGGTCTAGTAGATTGTAGCACAGATATGCGTGTTCCTAACAGGTCTAGGTGGACACACTGGAGAGATGTGTGTTCCTTAAAGGTCATGTAGATTGTAGCACAGATATGCGTGTTCCTAACAGGTCTAGTTGGACACACTGGAGAGATGTGTGTTCCTTAAAGGTCATGTAGATTGTAGCACAGATATGCGTGTTCCTAACAGGTCTAGTTGGATGCACTGGAGAGATGTGTGTTCCTTAAAGGTCTAGTAGATTGTAGCACAGATATGCGTGTTCCTAACAGGTCTAGTTGGACGCACTGGAGAGATGTGTGTTCCTTAAAGGTCTAGTAGATTGTAGCACAGATATGCGTGTTCCTTACAGGTCTAGTTGGACACACTGGAGAGATGTGTGTTCCTTAAAGATCTAGTAGATTGTAGCACAGATATGCGTGTTCCTAACAGGTCTAGTTGGACGCACTGGAGAGATGTGTGTTCCTTAAAGGTCTAGTAGATTGTAGCACATATATGCGTGTTCCTAACAGGTCTAGTCGGAAGCACTGGAGAGATGCCGTTCCTAAAAGGTCTAGTAGATTGTAGAACATATATGCGTGTTCCGAACAGGTCTAGTTGGACGCACTGCAGAGATGTGTGTTCCTCAAAGGTCTAATAGATTGTAGCACAGTTATGCGTGATCCTAACACGTGACCTAACAGGTCTAGTCGGCCGCACCGGAGATTTGCTTGTTTCTAACAGGTCTAGTCTACAGCAGTAGAGGTATGCGCATTCCTAACAGGTCTATTCGGATGCAGGTGATATATACGTGTTTCTAACAGGTCTAGTCGGACGTACTGGAGAGATGCGTGTTACTAAAAGGTCTAGTAGATTGTAGCACAGATATGCGTGTTCCTAACAGGTCTAGTTGGACGCACTGGAGAGATGTGTGTTCCTTAAAGGTCTAGTAGATTGTAGCACATATATGCGTGTTCCTAACAGGTCTAGTTGGACGCACTGGAGAGATGTGTGTTCCTTAAAGGTCTAGTAGATTGTAGCACAGATATGCGTGTTCCTAACAGGTCTAGTAGATTGTAGCCCAGATATGCGTGTTCCTAACAGATCTAGTCGGACGTCCTGGAGAGATGCGTGTTCCTATAAGGTCTAGTAGATTGTAGCACAGATATGCGTGTTCCTAACAGGTCTAGTTGGACGCACTGGAGAGATGTGTGTTCCTTAAAGGTCATGTAGATTGTAGCACAGATATGCGTGTTCCTAACAGGTCTAGTTGGACGCACTGGAGAGATGTGTGTTCCTTAAAGGTCTAGTAGATTGTAGCACAGATATACGTGTTCCTAACAGGTCTAGTTGGACGCACTGGAGAGATGTGTGTTCCTTAAAGGTCTAGTAGATTGTAGCACAGATATGCGTGTTCTTAACAGGTCTAGTTGGACACACTGGAGAGATGTGTGTTCCTTAAAGGTCTAGTAGATTGTAGCACAGATATGCGTGTTCCTAACAGGTCTAGTCGGAAGCACTGGAGAGATGCCGTTCCTAAAAGGTCTAGTAGATTGTAGCACATATATGCGTGTTCCTAACAGGTCTAGTTGGACGCACTGCAGAGATGTGTGTTCCTTAAAGGTCTAGTAGATTGTAGCACAGATATGCGTGTTCCTAACAGGTCTAGTTGGACGCACTGCAGAGATGTGTGTTCCTTAAAGGTCTAGTAGATTGTAGCACAGATATGCGTGTTCCTAACAGGTCTAGTAGATTGTAGCACAGATATGCGTGTTCCTAACAGATCTAGTCAGCTGCAGCGGGGATATGCGTGTTCTTAATGGGGCTAGTCTAAAGCCATAGTCAACCGTAGCCGAGATATGCGTGTTCCTTACAGGTCTAATTAGCTGCAGCGGAGATATGCTTGTTCCTAACAGGTCTAGTCAGCCGCAGCGGAGATATGCGTGTTCCTAACAAGTCTAGTCAGCCGCAGCGGAGATACGCGTGTTCCTAACAGGTCTAGACGAACGCAGCGGATGTATTCGTGTCCCTATCAGGTTTAGTCGTAAGCGGAGGATATATGCATGTCTCTATCCGACTCTAGTCGACCGTGGTGGATGACGCGCATGTGTGACGTACTCTTTAGCTGTGAGCAACTCGCGTAGTATGAGCGCCTCCTGTCATAAGACAGCACTATGTGCTCGGAGAGATTCACTAGCAAGCAGGTGCATTTACTCGCAGCTGATATATGGATGTTCCTAAGGCGTACAGTAGAATATGACTTCGCTTGCTGTCAGTATGCTGATTGTCAGGTTATGACTGATGGAAAACTAGTCTTCTAATCGGTAACAGCAGAGAGAAGAATGTATTTATCAAATCTAGTCGGCCGTGGTGGATGACGGGGCGTGTGTGACGTCATCTCTAGCTGCCAGTAGGCCGCGTAGTGTAAGTGCTTCCTGACGCAAGGCAGCTATATGTGCTCGGAGAGATGCGTTCTCTTGCTCTAGTAGGCAGGCACGCCACGCTATCTGATGAGAATAAAATTGGTTACATTAGTATATCACACATGACCCCAAAACGTTGTTCTTCTAAACAAGATGTAGTTAGATAGTCAGACGAAAAATCGCGTAAAGCTGCGCGAGAAGTTGCTTCAAGTATGCCTTGAAAAAATATAATGTATTTTTATGTTTTTATTTCTTTAAGCATTTAACTGCTAGATGTTTAAATCTAAAGAAAAGTTTTAGAAAAAATTCCACGCGGACCAGGCAGCGGACGGGGCTCGAACCCGCACCCTTCGCAATCCGGGCGAATGCACTGACCAATTATGCTACCACGGCCGCGTCGAAATTTTCCTAGCCTTAAGCTGCAAGGCAGCGCCATCTCTTCGCATTGTAGGTAACTCACAATATCAAATGAATACTTTATCAAGTATTAATCATTTGAAAGAAGAAATAGCAATTATAGTTATGTTTTTATTTTTTTAAGCATTTAACTGCTAGATGTTTAAATCAAAAGAAAAGTTTTACTAGAAATATGTTTACTATTTATAATGTATTTTTCAAGACATTTGCTAAAAAAATACATTTACGGAGGTTGTATACATTGTTGGAAAGTTTAAAATTACGCTCCAAACAACAGAGCGTGCGGTAAAAATTTTACCGTACGCACCGGTATATGGCAACATGCGTATCCTTTACGGTTTTTTTTATTTAGATCAAATCTCCTTGAAAGCGCTTTTGATCTATACGTTTGGCTGCTTTAATACAAAAAAAGAGCAGAAGAACTAGCACAAATTGCCAAAATAAAGATTTTTTTATTGTTGCAGTCTCTGAACTTCCTGGCGTCCCGTGACTTCTTGGCACATTTATAATTCTAAATACTCAGTAATTATTGGGAACATTACTATAGTAAACGTTATTTACTGGAACATTTTGATCTTTCACTATTTAAGTATGTTTTAAATAGTTCGCTTGTTGGACAACGGAATCTTAGCAGAAAAGTATTCCATCTCATCGTCTAGTACAAATTACCGAAATGACCAGACATTCATTGTTTCAGTAACTGATTTTCTCTGAGGAATTTACTATCTCGTGCTCTACTATACTTCGTAAGGCACGTTAAGGCGTTGGTCCCGGCTGCATCTGCAGTCGTTAGCACCCACTAATCCGCACTAGTCCGCGTGGTGGATCATTACCCAATCTCCTTATTCCATCAATAGAGAAGGCCTGTGCCCCAGCAGTAGTGACATTTAAATAGGCTGATGATGATGACCTGATCCTCTCTGATCCTCCGGGCATCTCTTGACTTCTTGGCGGCCTGGTTGTTGCGCCGGCGCCGTTCGAAGTATTTCTCGTCTTTGAGCTCGGCGGGTATTGGCCGCTTCTCACCCCTGCGACGAATCTCGTTCTCGCAAGGTGGTGGGGTCAAAACTGTAGGACAAAGCAGTATGGTGCCAATATTACCACATTATATATTTTTATTTTCACTGTGAAAGTAGCTAACTTCAACGACGACAACGCACTAACCACCCGCGTCATCGAGCTCTTCAGATATTTTTATTAAAATAAGCGTTGTAAAAGGGCGCTGTGACGTCAAGGGTTTGGAGTTGGCCAGGGCCAAGGCAGGACAGGCGGTGCTGTGGCCCAGCCACAACGGAGATAATTAAAAAAAATTACAAGTCACGAAACACTCCTTTGAATGTAACGACCTCCATGGCCGAGTGGTATGTTTGTGCAATGAATACGAGAACTTGTATTCCAGTCATGGATGTTTAATATGAATTTCTATATAAATATACTTGTCTATATGTATTCTATCCGTTACCGTAGTATCCTGAAACACAAGCCTACTGTCAGGTCAAGCTAATTGGTGAGAATGTGACGGCGACATCTATATGTCCCACATATATCCAACGGATGGAGGAATTCATCACTCACCTCCTCAAGAGATGACGCTACCAACATTGCGATCAATACGTATAGAAGCCTTCATCGCGCAAGTGAAATTCGGATGCTAACACTCCATACATACAATGCCTGACCAAAATCAGTCGGGCCGCGGCCGGAGTGTTTGAAATATTTATTAATTTATGTTATTTGTTGTTCCAGGGTCCTCACACCTCTAATTCTGGCCCGTGGTTGGCAGTGGTCCTTCCATCGTACACACACAACACACACACACACACATGCACATTGAAAACACATTTACCATATTCAGTCTTATTTAAAGTAACAGCAATAAGTATCTTCATACCTCCTCTTACTTTCCTTTATTCCTTTCCTTATCTTCTTATCTCTTTTTAACACTGCTCTGTTTTTCCTCTCCTCTTTCTATGTATTTTTAGTAACACCTCTTTCACCCCTGGCAGTATCCCTGGATCGGGACGAAAGTGGTTGAGACATCTTTTATTTTAGTCTAGTCTAGTATAAGGATAGTATAAGTCGCGGCCGTTATTGCGCAGAAGTAAAAATTAAGATGTCTTGGGGGGAAACGAGGTGCGCGGGTGGTGCGTTGCGCCGATTGGCTCTTCAGTCGTACCCATGCGCAGCTATCCCCCCAGGGTACTGTAGTACAGACAATTTACGTCAATAATAATAATAAATACTAATACGTAATAATACTAATACTAATACGTCCAATCTAGACAAAAAAAACATACACCCACCCAACTCTGACATTATTTTACTATTCTAAATTTTTTCTTCCTCTGTTTTGTCGTTTATCTTTTCTTTCTTTATAAAATCACACCAATTAGCCTAGGCCCAAAGTAAGCACTGTAATGCTTGAGTTATGGGATGCTAGGGTAACTGATAGAATACATATACAGTACTTAAATAAGTATATTTATATAGAAATACATATTAAACATCCATGACTGATTTATTTTTTGTTGCTTGAAAGCAAAGTATGCTAAAGTCCATACATCCTTTAAAGTAATAAAAAAAAAACTACATGTCTTTTTTTATGTCACTAAACAGGCTCTGCCAGAATAACAGCGCTGGTGAGACACAATGTCGCATCAGCTAATGCTGAGGCAGAGTCCTAGTTAGCCCTGTGTTTTTTGAATTTGTATCTATAAATGTGTAATATCTGTAATATGAGGGTTAATAAAATATATTCTATTCTATTCTATGACTGGAGTACAAATGCTCGTGTTCATCACACAATCATCTGCCCCCACCGGGATTCGAACCCTCTCGAGTCGGCGACACCATGAACACCGGCGTACAAGCTCTCGGCCACGGAGGTCGTCATCTTTAAAGGATACGTTTGAATGTTCAATAAAGTTTATCAATACTGACTTGGAGCTGTCCTGACGGGCAAGTGCTGGCAGTATGGCGGCAGGCAGGGCGGCTGCGGCGGCAACGACGCCAGCAGTGGACCCACCATGCGGTGGACATCTGGAAGAAGGAGGTTTCCCTGTGTTATCGAGGGCGAAATTAATAAATTTATTAAATACACTTGTGTCATCGTAATGTAGCAAGTTGTATTTGAGGAGCTGACGAACGAAACAGTATAATAATTACGCATCTGGTCAAAACTACATTTTTTTACAGTCCCGGGGTTACGGGCTCGTTGAATTTAAATCTCAAATAATTTTCAATCAAAACTGCTTATAAGAGTGTTAAAAATACTAAAGGAGACTGAAACGATTACATACAATCTTGGGCCCAGGTGTAATGAAAGTAGTGCCATTTAACTAGCTTATATATTATCAACCTTTTACTGAAAATTCTGCGACTATTTTGTCGAAATTTCTTTGTCGTATTATTCGTAAGTGGAATTCTTTGCCCGCGCACGTGTTCTCTCCTTCCTACAATCTGGGGTCCTTTGAGAGGCGTGAAGAAGCATTTTTGCAGGCCGGCAACGTGAGAGTGGTTAGTGTAGCAGTTTATAACTGCTGTACTAGCTATCTTCGCGTTTGGACTTTATCACCGCTTAACATCAGGTGGGGGTAGAGTCATTTGCCTACCTAGCTATAAAAAAATGAATAAAAATACATATACTTGCGTTACTACGTCTGATATTTGTATATCTGTGATTCTTGCTATTTGTAGAGCGATGTTATGTTACAAACACAAATCTATGGCACTTTGGACATAATCAATGGCTCGAGCGGTGGCAGGTGTGTTACGATATGGGGTCACGCGAACACGTGTAGGGCTGTCCATCAGTACTTACCTCAAAAGTGTTCAAGTTGGAAAAAGTATTGAAATAAATTTATTGATGTGTAACGTCTTTCCTCTCGCTTTCCTGCAATTTGTGGGAGTGATTTCGTGAAATGGGACGGAAGTGTGTAACAGGAAGTCGCGAAAGTGCGCGCTATTTGATTTGGTTTTAGAACATAATGTTCAAATGGCTTATGCCTTTTACAGTAGGTTTTATTTCTTTTTTTACTTATTTAAGGTGAGGTTTCAAATATTACACATCATATCTATCTATCTCACTTTGACCAATATTTATATATTACAATCAGCAATTTTTATTAAACAAAATCCAGAATACTTTGAAAATAAAACCACATTACGTCCGAATACGCGTAGTAATTATAAATATGATATATGCATACCTAGGATAAATAATCACTTGTATTATAATAGCGTTTTCAGTACTAGTATAAGGATCTTCAATCATTTGCCTGCAGAAATTAAAGCACATAATTTGCCACAGTTTAAATTTAAGTTAAAAAGCTGGTTATTAAATAATGTTTTTTATAATCTTGATGAATATTATACTTGTAAAACTTAATATAATTTAGGCTCTAAAATGTACTTTTTAAATTAAGATAGTTTTAAGTTATAAATTTTACCATTGCATGCCCGTTGTGGGCACACTGTTGTGACTTTGTTATTATTGCAATTCCAACTGCAAAATTGTACACAGTTTTTTAAGCAATAAAGTTATTATTATTATTATTATTATTATTATACACGACTACTGTAAGGCTCGCTCGTTTTTTTATTTTACTTTGATATATTTACAGAAGATATTGAGCCTGGTTCTTACAAAATTCAAAAACGTAAATCTAGATTACATCACGCCTCGTCAGTCCTAAATGAGACACGTTACATTTGCGATTTTATTTTAATACAAACACCCTGCACCTACAACATAATTATCAACTTTCTATTGCGAGTTGATATCCAATATGAATTTTAATTCAATTAATAAATTAGTATCTACCTCTTCCATCCATAAGGAAGACCATTTCTGCAGGCCGGCAAGGTGAGGATGGTTGGTGTGGCAGTTTATAACTCCTGTACCAGCTATCTGCGCGTTTAGACTCTATCACCACTTAACATCACGTAGGGTAGAGTCATTTGCCTACCTGACTATATATATATATAAAAAGGCCTGTGCCCCAGCAGTGGTGCCATACCGAAAGTTTTTATTTACATTAAATAAAATAAATTACAGTTAATTACGTAATCTTTATATTTAAAGTGTTTTGCTACCTTATATTTATTTAAATCTAATCACCATGAAAAAAGGAAGATGGACATGGTGTACTGTCCTAACACTTAAAAATAAACTGAATACTTAAACCATAATAATAATCTGTTAAACATTTTCACTGTACAGTAGTCAGTAGAGGCAGCCCTAGCATTGTTGCCATCCATTAATAATTAATAGATACGCGGTCGCGATCGGTTAAGTGTCTCCCTAAACGGTGGGTAAACTCTGTAATTGGGGGGACAAATATTTGTATTGCAGTTGGGGAAAAATATATTTAGGATTTTTTTGTGGAGTGCCGCCAATTTTTAAGTGCTAGTAGATTCCAGACGCAGCAGAAAAAGATGCTTAGATCGGTCACTTATACCTTACACCTCTGCCAAATCTTATTGTGGAATGGAATAAGTACCTAATAGTTTTATAATAATACTGTTTGTCGCATTATGACTCAACTTAATACACTCCTGGCTCATAAGCCATAAGTGTGATGTGTATGCAGATGATTGGATGGAATAAAATAATGTATGACTGTCTATTGTTTTGCGAGTATATGACTTTCTAATCTTCATGTTTGTAATTATTTGTTTTTTTTACTAATTGCCGTAAATGGTATTAAGTCGTGGTGTGGTAATAAGAAATAAATAAATAAATAGTGTACAAAATTATTGGAATGTTTAATAGACACGAGCAAGCCTTACAGTAGTCGCATATATACGTAGTCAGGTCATAAATTCTGTCACATTTTTAATATAAAATAATTGAAACAAGTTTATTCATTATGTAACCATTTATATACCAAAATGAACTTAACAAAACATAGATTCTTATGACAATAAAGTTTATTCAAAATGACCTCCGTGATTTTGAATACAGGCCTTCAATCTGCGCGGCCAGTCGTCTATCGTAGCACGAACGAGGTCCATGTCAATATCGCCGGCTGCCTTAATCAAGGATGTCTTCGACACTTGCAAGGAAGAACATTGTAACTCAGTTTTAGGCGGTATTGAGTTAAAATGATATTCTCATCTAGCCAAAAATCCGGAATTGTTTACACTTATCCCCGTATCTAAATTCCTTACAGTTTAAAATTTGCATAGCGTAAAAACATCGTAAGTGGGAGTCAACTGCAGTTACTATAATTGTATATTTAGTTACATGTTATTTTTTATGCAAACCATTATTAGTTTACTTAAATAAAATTGTAATACTAGGTACAATCTTGTTTTTAGAAATTATTATTTCATATTAACAAAGTGTTCATCTTATCTTGAAGTACAATATTTTTTTCAGAAATAATTATTTAGTTTTTAACTGGATTTCATCGCAACTTTAGATACAATGCCTTCATCCTATAAAATGGGCCAATATATTCAATATCACATTGTAACATCACAATCGTCAAATGGAATATATTAGTCGAATTGTCAAAAGGGTTGAAAAAAAGCAAGTTACCGTTCGTACAGCTGCCTCAAGTAGGCGTAAATGGTCTTTACAGTATTTTTTATTTATAGATGGTAAAGAAATTAGAACCTGTAAAACTATGTTCTTGAATACTTTTTCTGTAAGCGACATGTGGTTGCAGACTCTTTTTAAAAAAATAGATATGGCTGCCACAGGCACTATTTCTAGTGATAAGCGAGGTCGTCATGGTTCAAGAAAAAATGCTATCCCAGATCATGTGAAACAATCTGTCCGGAACCACATTTCACAAATGCCATTGGTAGATTCCCATTACGTTAGGAGCAGGACATCTAAAAAGTATCTTGATGAACAACTGAGCTTACCAATACTTTACAAACTTTATTTGGAATGGATGAATAAGTACTATTCTGATCAAGTAGTTGCTACATTGAGGCAATACAGAGAGATATTTAAGACTGAATTCAACATTGATTTTAATAAACCAAAAAAAGATCAATGCCCACGATGCGACATATTTAAAAACGCAACCGGAACCGACAAAGCTAATTTAGAGTATGAGCAAGCTTTACATATTGCCAATAAACATGTAGTGAGAGCCTTAAAAGATTCCGATAAACGCCGGGCTGAGCAATCAGATTCTGTCGTAGCAGCATGTTTTGATTTACAGAAAATCTTAACCACCCCACAGTCCGAAGTTTAAATTTTTTACTATAAAAGAAAGCTTGCAACCTACAATTTTACTATATACGATAAGGGCAAACATAAGGGATATTGTTACATATGGGACGAGACAATCGGAAAAAAGGGGTCCAATGAAATAAGTAGTTACGTGTTTGATTTTATAAAGAATAAAGTCCAGGAAGGGTACAAAGACTTCAATTTTTATTCAGATAGCTGCGGTGGTCAGAATAAAAACCGGATAGTCTTTGCTATGTATTCATATGCCGCCAAAATTTTCAACATTTATCACCACTTCTTCGAAGTCGGTCATTCTCAATCAGAGGGTGACAGCATGCATGCACTTATAGAGCGCAGAAAGAACAATAAAATTATTTTCGTTCCTCAGCAATGGGTGACATTGATCAGATGCGCTAAAGCTAATGGTGAACCTTATGTGGTACAAGAAGTTAACCAAGAAATGATATTAGACTTCAAACTGCTTCTGCCTTATTATTGCAATTGGGAACAAGACATAAATAATTTAAAAGTAGCATGGAGTAGAATTATGCATATCCATTTTAACTGTGACTCGCCAAATATTATCAAATATCAATATGATTCACTCAGTGATTGTGAAATGGCTATAGATCTGCTGCAGCATAAAGCAGTTCCTTATCGAGCGGCGAAACGACGATCTGCCATGGGACCTCAAAACAATGATAGAGAAGAGTTACCGAGCATTATTCCAAAGGCGTATAATGCGCCTCTGCCTATATCGTCAGCCAAGTACAAAGACTTACATAGCCTTTGTAAAAGTAATGCTATTCCAGCAATTTACCATAATTATTACATAGCATTACCGCACATGAATGCTACAAGGCGAATTAATGATTCATCTGATTCTGATTAAGTAGTAAGTTCTTTAAATGTTTAGGTTACTGGTTGATTAAAGTGTGATTGACAAAAAATAAAAGATTGCTCAAATAATATACTAAGGCCCGTATTACATAATGATAACTGAGTGTTGTTTACTTGAGTACAGTTAGAAAGGGATGTCGCTATATATAGCACATAGCAACATCCCTTTCTAACTGTACTCAAGTAAAAATCAACACTCAGTTGTCATTCCGTAATACGGGCCTAAATTAGTTTGTATTTTTTTAGGAAGTGTGATTGCCTAAACGTAACAAACTAGGTTTCATATTTATTGTGACTACCTATTCCGTTAAAAATACTTTTTTTTCTGAATACTTACTTATTTTAGTACCATAAGTGATGATTATTGTCGGCTTTTTATTTTCCTAACGTAAGATTAT